TTTTTTAAGATTCGCATAGCTTTAAATTGGGCTGTCGTATTGGTGATCTCTAAGAAAATCGCGCCTCTTGACCGTCTCCCCAAGAAAACGCTACAGTAATTTACTCTAACTGGGAATTGGGAAAAGGATTAGAAGAAAATAGAACCGAATGATACTATCAAAGAGAAATCATGATATTGATTGATAGTAAACCATCTATCTTTTCTGTTTCCGAGACAGAATAAATTGAGAAAAAAAGAGTTACCATGTTGGGAAAGGACTTTTCATATATTAGGTTGTCCCGAAAGTTTTGTCCGTTTTTTCAACCTATCATAAAAACGCGTAGAACGAAGACAGGGAAACGCTCTAAGCACTATCCGACGCACTTTTCCTCTTCTTTCTAACTGTTATAATGTTGTGCAGATTATTCTTTTGCTCACCGAGATAAACGCCGAAATTTCGAACTAATGGTTTTTACGATGTCCAACTTTGGCGAATTTTCACAATCTTCTACTTTTGGAAAAGCTTTGATAGCATTCAGATAGAGCAAACAAAGGGCAATATAATGCAATTTTGCGGCATCTATAGCCAGCCTTGAAAATTTTTTAGAATTATTTTTTCTGATGCTATCAAATTCCACTTTGGGTGATGCCAAAAGCCAGAGATCTTGAAACGGCGCACAACTAAGGTGTTATTCGATGCAGCTTTTCCTCCTCTTTCTAGTGAGTGTCTTTCCTCTCCAATTTGCCGGGTCCTTGGCGATAAAATTTTCATTATTATTGAATTTGACCCCACCCCAGCGTGTACACGTAAAATGCAAAATCTTATATTTCGAAGCGGTAAACGCTCATTTGCTTCGTAAAAATAGTGTATAATCGTAATCGGTTTTTGAAAGCTTCGAAATCCGACGATTTGTTAGTGTTCGAGGCGTCTCTGTACTTTAGAACTTCGCAAAAGTGAAGACTTTTGAAAAAATTATCTTTAAAAATATTGAAAAGCCAGCTAGATATGCCAAATAATTGCATTGCATTGCCCTTTGCTTACTCTATCTGAGGACTTTCAAACAACTTCCAAAAGTTGAAAATGAAGATTGTGAAAAATTGTCAAACTTGGACATAATAAAAACCATGGGTTCGAAATTTCGGCGTTTATCTCAGTGAGCAAAAGAATAATCTGCACAACATTATAACAGTTAGAAAGCGGAGGAAAAGATGCGTCGGGGAGTGTTTAGAGCGATTTCCTATCTTTGTTCCACATATTTTTGTGACAGATTGAAAAAAACTGACAAAACTTTCGGGACAACCTAATATTAGCAAGATAAACGTAAAGAGAGAGTGATTTACCCTACCAAATTTCACTGCAGGCCTTTACAACTCCAAATTCTACTTGGTGAAGAATAGGTATAAGCAGAGTATAATCAATTTTACAACCCTTACTTTTTCAAGCGCTATACTTGCTTGCGTCAATGACAACAATTCAACTGAGCGGAACATTCTGCAAAGAGCTTGAATAGTAATCGGAAAAATCTAGAGTATCCTGTTTTCTCGTCTGGAGAGAGTCTCATGTAAGCCACCGCGCATGTTCCATTCAGTCATATATTTTTGGCCCGTAATAATCAATTCTAAATTTCAATCGGGATCTATTCTCTACCGTACTTGAAAGAGCTGATCCTGGACATCGGCTCGGCTAAGGTGTCCTTATCAGTGCCATATAAGAACCACGTGTAAAGATTTGCTTGAGCATTGTCTCTACGCTTTTTCCGTCTAATTATTCGAAGGGAGACGGAGGGGTAAGCGCTACAGTAAAATACATTCTTTGTAAGACACTCTTTTCTCATATTAGATTAAGCAGAGGTTTACAGAAATAAGAAAGTTGCTATGGAGAATCAATATAATTTTCCGAAGTTCAGAGTTTAAGCTCTCATGCGTTCTAATTAATTCTTCTAGATCTTCCGATTGGTGTCTTATCTGTGTTGTTGGATAATGGAAGGAGCTAACGCCGAGATGAGCGATAGTCTAAATAAGGATACTGTAGTCCTACGAATGTCAAAATGCCGCGCATAACATCCTTTTGAGGCAATGTGTTCTTCGGTGGATGAATGGTAACGAAAAGTAAAGATTAGAGCCCACAATGCTCTCAGCGTTTTTTTTTTCTAATTTTCAGAGATTGTTTTAACGCAAATACGAAGCTTGAGCGAGTTTTAATCTACGCAACGCATATGGCTAGCACAAGGTGTCGTTTGTTGGCTGACCCCCCCCCCCCCGGAATGAATGATTAAATATTTGTGACTCATGTGAAAATTGCTTTTTGCAGAAGATGCAGAACTCAAGAGCACACTGGACGATAAATTGTCGAAATGATTCCGCAAAATGCTATCCTGCTCTGCAGAAGCGCATGTTGACTATAAACTTTAAGAAATGTAAAAAATGAAAAGTAGGTCACTTTTGTGGGAATCTGATATTATCATAAATGACAAGTCAACGAGTTCAAAAGGATTCGAACTATACGCAAAGCCAAACCTTTTAGAAATGTCAAGTGGGCGAGATTACCATATGCATGTCAAAGGCTTTGAAGAGCGCGATTACGGTAAGAGCGAGAGAGCAGCATTGCTCGGTGAGAGCGTGTGTCTAAGTGGTTTGGTAGGATTAGAAGCCAGCCTTTACATGCGACGACCCTCTCGAAGCAAAGCCTACCGCCACTCGCTGGTAGCAGAACACCTCTCGAGAGCTCTTTTGTGCGATTGCGACGAGAGCACCAAAGCGACGACAACACTCTCACTCGTCATGTTAGCATAGTGTCGCTTAGCACAAAGGTGATTGAGCCGGGTGTAGGAATGTGTTGAGAGAACCAGTGAAGAGTTTACACTGAGGGATTGAAAGGGAGATGGTTTCTCTTTCGAGCTTTCCCAAAACAACATTTGTAGTTTGTAAATATAAAAATTAAAAAAAATACGAATTCTTTTTGTTTCAACAATGATTGCCTGTCAGCATACATTGGACCACTTCACAATTTTGCCCCAACCCAATTGATAGCGAATGCTTATGCATGTGATTTCAGAATCATAAAGCTCATCTTTTGGAAAGTAAAATGCTCAGGATTCTGCAGATATCAACATGAAAAATCTACACTTTAATCACGGCTCGGCACGAGCTGACACCGCGAAAATTTCAGAACGACGGTCCCCTTTGATCTCAAAAATCTCCTACGAAGTCCTCTTTGACCATAAACTCTCGAAAAATGACACATCGACTAAGAGAAACGCCTCAATTTTTTCTCTTCGGCCACAAAAACGATATCCCCTTTGCTTTTTGCCCCAAAAACGATAACCAACCCGATGCCAACCCTGACTTCAATCATCCTCCTATAGTGAACTTTGGTGAGGTAGAGGCTGTAAGAATACTCCAGTCTGGGGGTACACCAGACAACCCGTTTTAAATTTCAAAAGTTAGATTTTCAAGACTGCACTAGAATTCAAAATGTACTTCGTTACAAATTCATGAGTGTTTTCAAAACAAAAATGGTTGAAAGCAAAATGATGACACTTTGTGAGGGATCAGATTTTCTTCAGCGCTATAATCCCTTAATTATAGACTTACTTGTTTTATAATTCGGTGCAATACTTTTGTACCACGATAATTAGCACAATATTTGAATATTATTCAGACAATTCATTGAACCGCAGAACATTTGGGAAGGCTCCGCCGAATTACCCGCGAAGTTCAGTAAACGTGCCGCGGAAGTTCCTAGATGAGGTGAATGTTAACAGCAAAAGGGAAGCTAGCGAGAACATTGCTTTGTTGACTGAGAGACTCACTTACTATCCTCACTATGACTGATACGTTCGGCAACGCACTCCGCTACTGGCGAAACAACACATTCAAAAATCTGTGGAAGTACTGGCAGGTCAAAGTGCTGCGGAGCCGCTGGCGTTCTTGAATGTTTTGCAGCGTTGCAGTAAGTTTCGTGAAAATTTCCGTTTTCAACCAGTCTGACATGAACATCCTGCGGAATAACCATTTTCAACTTTTTCATTTTTGTGATAGTCAACAGGATCCTGCGGAACAGCAGCAAATTATGCTTGTGCTGCAGAATCTGCGGTGGAATGTATAAATCTTCAGCGGTATTATAATTTGGAAACAATATCACTGCTGTGCTAGATAGCAACACAGTAAACATCTGAAACTCAATAGGGTGAATGTGCTGGCACCGAAAAAGTTTGTAACAGCGCACTGCAGAAATCTTATGTGATGTTTGGAAAGACTCCATCACTAGGCCGCTCAGACAAACGCCGGGAAGTTTCCAAGAACTTGAGGAAAACTCCGGCGAGTCACCTGGGGAGCTCCGTGGTAAGCTCTTCGGAGGTTCTGCTCTGAAGTTCTCAGAAACTTCTCAGAAGAGTTTGCCTTAGCCTCTTCTGCAGTCAAGATTTTCGAAATTCCTAGAAGACTACAGTTCAGCGCAACATCTGCAGCTAAATTTGCCGAGGAGCGCCTACTGTGATTACTCGGAACCTCAGCAAATGACCACTTTTTATGCGGTTGCCGTAAACAACAATCTATTCATTAAAAATGAAAATGGTTGCTTCACACATGTTTGAAATCAAAACTTTTCCAAATAATCGAGCACAACTATACACGTGACGAGCATATATCAACCGAAAAAAAGTTCCTTTTTCAGTGCTGACTGCCCAAGTTTTCCTTCCATGTTTGTGCTCATTCCCCACCTTGTCGGTGCCAAATGAACCGAAGAGCCCTTTGATTTCTGAAAGTGAATTCATATAGGCATAGATCGGAGGTAGCATACCTATAACATACCTTCGGATCTTTCTACATACCGTACCTGTGATAAGCTGTGATTTTATGGGCACACAAACATAAAAGCTTCTAACACTCAAATTGGGTATTCACTTCGTTTGAACAATAGTTAAATTGAAATTCATGCGCGTAATTAATAGGTTACAATTTCAGTCACAAATTGAAACCAGTTATCACAGCATCATTTCTCACAAAAATGTGAATCACAACAAGACAGACTCATTCGAAAGGCAATGGTAAAGGCGAGAAGTAAGGCAAGGGATTACCAGAGGCACATGCGCGGCTGCCAATATATGGGAGAGCTGAAAGAAACAATGTCTATGGGTTGTTTCAGACTGTCGCACTGACCGCAGCTGACTGCAGCAGACTGCAGCCGACTGCAGCTGACCGCGGGGCCGCACAGATCGCTATATCCTTTCGTGAAGGTGAAGAGGATAAATAGTTGTAGCTTAAACAGTCTCTTAACGACATATGCCCCAACAAACAACACGAGCGGGGATAAAATAGGTATATGCAATGACAAAAGGAATCTGAACAAATACGAGCATATTAATGAAAAACAACTGCCAAAACTTGATTGAGAAAAGTAAACTAGAACCTATCAACTTTCTAGGCGTAAAACACGGTGTTTTGATGTATTCGCAACTATTTTCTCTTTTAGAAAGGATGCAGCGATTGTGCGACCGTTGCGGTCAGTGCGGCACTATGAACCAACCCTATAATGGGTCAAAGGAGAGATCAAATGGATGCAAGTGCATGGCAGAGATAAAAACAAGGTGAAGAGTGAGTACAAAGAGTAAGAGGAATAAGAAGGTGCAAGGAGTACAAAGCAGAGGGTGAATGGAGGTACAGATATATGGCACATCAAGGTAAACAGATGAACTTACGAACATAATTAGCCTATACCTCGATTCCTTAGTCTTAACCTCAAAGAGTAGAGTCTCTTCAATCCTACGCTGTAGCTTAGACTGGGGTTTCTTTTCTTGGACTTGCAATCAGGTTCACCAGATTCATTATTACCGCCAAAGATTCGATCATTACACGGAGCTTTTTTCTCTGGCTTTCGCCGAAGCGATAGAGAGTCATACGATTCTTTAATGTCACGAGCTAGCAGCAGCTCAGACGGTGATACAGCGAATTTTGAACATGGGAACTGTTCTTCGGTTCCCACAAATTTTGACAGGTGCCCGCTTTGTGAAGGCTGCAAAGTTAACTTCATCGGCTTATCATAAGCGCTACACAACCATACCTCCAAAGAAAGAGCTGTGGCGTTTGCAACTAGTAGATGCCCCAAATATCCCTCTCGAACCGTTCATGTACAGGATTTTGGATAAGATAGGAATAAGTACCGATTGAATGACAAATAGTCCCCAAATAGAATAGTGGCTTTATCTATGAGCTGCGTCTGAGCCGTCATGCTCGGCCTTGCGTTTACGAGACCTGGTAAATATGTTGCTCATTCCCTTGTGACTTCCATGCAAGTCAAAGTGTTCCGCACTCAACTCGTTCAATGAAGGAGTGAGATGTGCATTTGTGCTTATTTGGGAAACCTAATGCCATGCAAACTTATGCAAATCCGTGAAATAAACTTTCCAGAGCTATGAACCGACGACTGTGGCCACCGCTTAATCTTAAAGTTGGGAGGAGAGGAATACAAGCAATCAGCCAAATTGCAGGAGGAGTATGTTGCAAACATTTAAGAAGACAGAAACTGGTCGTAATTGACATTATTATATCTTGCCCTTTCATGAACGTTCAGAAAATTTTCCATCCCAGCTACTATAAGCAAATTACTGTTCTCAGCGACCGAGAATGTTTAAGCAATGAATAGGTAGGAAAGGTGAAACTATAGCTGTTTTCAGTCCATACACAGAGACTGACCTCGATAACGTCTATCCAAGCCATCTGCGACAATACACAAGTGTTTAGGCGTTGGTCATAAATGTGCTTTTCGCTGAATAGCCATCGCGGCTATAACGGCAGCGTTTTGAGAAAAGGGACACTCCATCTTGTAGACAGTTTTGCTCCCGGATGAGTAGAACTTATCCGAAAGCAAAACTGCTTGTAGTTGAGGGGGGGGGGGAGCTCTAATGATCATTTATCGTCGCTCCATTCAAGATTTGGCCGTATTCTTTACAGAAGAGTTCCGCTACTAACTACTAATCCTACTAATCACATCCGAGAAGGCGTGCCATTAGCTTCAGCTTCGTTTTGGTTGGAAGACCCTCTTAGACGCGTACGGATGCACACGCAAGCGTTCTTGATGATTTCTCTGTCCACAGCAACTTCTTTTATGCGCAGCAAATACAGCTCTAAGGTGAAGTAAGTAGTGATGCCAGCTCACCTCCCTCTGATGTTCTCCAGTCTGCAAAAGAGCCCCGCCTCTGGTCGGTACCAAAGCAGATTAGGTCCAGCATTTTGTTGCTGAGTCAGAGTGAGTTTCGTTCACTTGTAAGGGTTCTATTTTTGTTTCATCTCCTTCTCAAATATGACAACAACACATGTCTTCAATGAAACTTACACTAAGTATCATAACATTCTCGCTGTATAAAGATTAATTTGGGATTATGAAATTCAATGTAAGTTTCATCCATATGCTACGTATGTAGCTTCTATCTAAACATCATTTCTGTGCAGGAGCACTGTAAAGCTTACACGAGTTAAAGTTACACGTTGCAGTTACAATGTAAATTGCAGTGCTACGTAAACGTAACAATGAACCATTAACAGAACACTACCCCACTTCATTTTCACAGCATGGTTAAAGAAAAAATATGCGATATGAAGACAGGCAGCTACAAAACCTAATAGAGTGAGTAAACCGCAGCAATCAAGAGATATATATTACATTAAGCTAAGAGGGACAAACACAATAACCAATGAGGAAGATTGAAGCAATTGTAAGCGTCAGAATAGTATATTTTAAAAAAAGACCTGAGCGCATTTTAACGTCGATTATCAATAAAGAATGCGTAAAGGAACCTTTTTAGGGACGCTCTGTCGCATTTTGCGGCGCAAATGCAACTCGAGGTATCAATCATTGTTGAGTAGCGTCTATCCATTTTGGACGCTACGCCTACCTGTGTCATTTCTGATACGATAAACCAGTCTACCACAAAACCACCGTGCACACATACAGCATTTTTGATGCATCGGCGGGAATAGGGTTCCACGCTTTGAAATGTGCGCGGACTTCAACTGGACAATGAGCTGACGATAATGCGAGTACGGTTAGCCGCAAAATATCAATTGTTACTGTAAATGGGTCGGAGACCCACACGTCTGACGAGCTAGCCGTCCTCTTAGGCGTAGGACCAAAGGAACCAGGAGTACTAGTACCTTGAACAGGCAACGGAGCTGCTGGAGTTATCTCGACCTGGTCATTGCGCAAAGAGCGATGTATGATGGTTTCATACTGCAGATCATCCTGTTCAAACGTCCAGGCCCATGATCGGAGAGAGACACACATTGAGGCTCGCGAACGCCCTTCAAATAGCGGATTAACGCATCGTTGGCATATGTATAGAATCATGGTAGCGTCCGGAAAAACCCAATAAACCGCATGAGATTTCTTGAATCAAGGATATCTTCCATGAACGCAGTCCTAAGTGGACGCGATACATCTGATTTACAGACAATTCGCCGTTCCTCGACTTGACATCATAATCGTGGATTTTGTTGTATGTCGCGAGACACGCAAAACCTATGGCTCTCGTTGTTATTGGAACGAACTTGCGTGACTCAGATGGACTGTTGTTAAAGTTTTGAAACGATTAACACAGTTTCTCAAAGAACGGCACGCCAAAACGTTGTAGAGCTGCAGATTTTGACTGGATCACCGGTTCATTGTTCTTACGACGGAAATCGTCGGTGCGTTTCTGCTGGCTGAGCTGACTGGCGACGACGATGGTGTGTGGAGGGGTCGGAGTCACTACGGTTAAATCTAAATGTGTAAAGTAAAGAAAATATTGAAACCTTGAAGAAATGTGTTTAAAGCTACTGACATGATACTTTTCTGCGCTTGAAAGCGTTAGATGTGCCACGCGACGGGTACAAGAGCATGTTGTGGTTCGCGGCGCAAATGGAGCACTTCACCCACAATCCTGTCCGTGGCATGGTTGTAGGCACTTGCTACAAAGGCCCAATACGTTGGCCTGCACCGCCCTTGCCACTGCGTCGGGGCATCTTCGTCGGGGTGGGCGTCGCGATTGTCTTCATAAGGGCAGAACACGCAGTTGGAGAGTGGCTTTGAACGGTCCAGAAGCGTGTCGACGCATGTGAGGATTTATTAGTTAATAGCCTATTACCTACGTTTATTTTGTTTTATACGTGACTTATGTACAAGTGTATGCATTTCTATCATCCTTCATTGTTTTTTACATATGTTGAAGATGAGCGCAAGCAAAGTGCCAGAGATCTGTAGCACGCTTTGCACTGCGAGTACGACTGTTTTCACAAAAGTCCCCAGTACTATCGGTCCCAGGCAGTATGTTAATAGGGTAATTATGAGTGCTGAGCTCACCGCTGCCAAAGTTAGTTTCCATGTTGCGCTATTAATTTCATGAGTGGCTTAAGATCTGGTATTTTGATCTCGCTAAACCAATGCAGTTTCTGATGCCATGTGAAATCCCCATCATTCTCAAACGAGGGTGCCTCCAGGTGTTTGGGCATGTATTCGAGGTGTCCCGCTAGATCAAATTCGATCTGTTCTCCCTTACATTTCTCCTCTACGATAGCGCGATCATGATCCAATACAACTTTTGATTGCATAGTTCTTGCACCGCATTCGACCGGAAAAGTGTGCGCACCGCTTCTTATGGCCACGCGTCGATTTCGGTTAGACATGATATGGATATACTTGAGCCTTCTCGGCAGTCGTAACATCCTGTCACATTAATGATTAAGACTTGGCATTCCTGATCTAAGGTCTAAACCCACGTATCTATAAGCAGTTTCGATTCGATTTTATTGTAACCTCAGCTTCCTGTGTAGTTGTCACGATGCTGCTACCATAGACGAATGTTTCTGAAAATAGAGTTCTTGTAGGCAGCTTGTTTGACTCACCTGCTTTGATATCCTCTATGTTCTCATTAGAGCAATCACATCGGGTTGGAGGGTTTGTTCCTCTGAATGCACACATCATATACGAACTTTGCAATTCGCATTATTCTTCTCTGTTCCAAAATGCGAGATTTGCATCTGTTTGTGTGGTTGAGTAACTCTTTGCCTTGTACAGCAAAGATGAATTTAGTAGCTTTTTGCTATTGTAGGAATGTGCAGATGTTAGCATCAGATATGCTTTCCATGCCTTCCACCATTTCTTTCGCGTATCTGCGAATTCATGCACAGCTGTGCCTAAACGATTTGGTCTCAGGCAAATAAGTAGGTGGCAGTGCACAGTCAGAGTCAGTCGCTATACAGTTTTCGCTTCTTACTTCAACATTAGTTTGAATCATTTATTTATGCCTTCTCTATTTCGCAATAACCTTTCGTAGTTTGGATCCCATTATTCATTCATTTCCCATTGATTTATTTTGATCGTGTTTATTGTTGCCTTTTTCTTGCCAACATAAAGTTTAATTACCCAAGTTTGAGGTGTGCTCGTGCGTTTACGGAACGTGGCAATATTTTTGGTTGTGGTTTGGTATTCGAAGCCTTATAGTCCTGACTATATCCCAGCCACCAACTACTCTGACATTCGGTGCATGCGGCGCGCGCGCTCCCTGCGCGGCGCTTTGTAGTGCGCGCGGGCCGAACGATGAATGCGCGCGCGCCACTGAGTTAAGGAGCGCGGGCCGCGCGGTACTTTTCTCGGCCATTATCACAGGCGCGGTTCTGGCTTATCATTTCTGATATCAAATCTTACCATTTTTATCACTTATATTATCATTAACCTTATCAAACCCATATTTCATCCTCGTATGCTTCTTTTGAAAATTTTTATAGTCATTTACTAGGAAAAAAGTTTACTTTCAACATCTTTACACAATCAAAATTATGACGCCGTAAGAAGCAGTGGAACTGAAAATGGTACCATCTACAGTAACAAATAATAACAGTATCTACAAGCAATCAAGTTGGATACTGGTATTTCAACCACTTACTATAAGACCAATATGGCCAATATAGAACAACGTAATATAGAGACCAATATAGAGCAATATATCATGAAAGTATCACCGATCGATCACATTATAGTATATCAATATAACAACGAAAACAAATGACAAATGGCTAAAAAAAATCATCGCTTCCTGAATCACTGTGAACAAGGCAGTCTGTTTTCATCCACTTCGTCGGGAGCTCCACGTTTGCTTTGCCGCTGAAGTTCAAACATCATCACCTTTCATTTGTAAGATCTCATAGTTACTTACAGAATTAGCAATCCTACTCCAGCTTCATAAGCATATGACCGCATGTCCCGTTTGAACGACACACAAAGATTTAGGAATACGCGCCTGCCAAAAACTCACAGTGCCAATTGCGGCAACTTGAATAATTGGGGCCTCCAGTTCTTCTTTTCTTCTTTCAAATCATCCAGAGTCTGCCTTCTTTCCGCCTCAGTGCTTCCAAGGTTTTGATAGTAACTGAAATGAGCATCAATGGAAGATCAGTTGTTGCTTCATTGTTAACAAAACTTACGTTGATTCTTGTAAGTTTATCTGACGAAACTGTTCCAACTCTTCACGTCCATATCCTGCCATGTCCTCGACCATATCTGAAAAACGTTTTTTTCTGAGTAATAAGAATTGACTGATGTCCTACCTATCAAAGTGTCCGTTATCGCCCGGGGAAAACTCTTCAACTTCAAGTCTGTCCTTTTCAACGTATTGATGCGAAAGGAGTACTCTCGAATACGTTCTGGCGGACTGCAAATCTTAAATGTGATTTTGGGTTTCATTTTGATAAAATTTTCTGTGTTTTTTCACTTACTCTTTGAAGTACTTGGCGGTACATAGCCGACACTTGAACATATGGGGTATCCTTTTTCCGCGGGTGCCAATCTTTACATTCCTTCAGCAGGTTAACCTGAAAAGTGGAGCTTCAAAAATGAATTTAACATGTGCTTGAGGGATTTACCTCCCCAAGCGGTGGCTCGGCGTCGATCTTCCACATTCTTGTGCACTTCGTTACCGAAGGCGTAGTTGTCACAACTAATAAAGGTCTTTCCGCAGTGTCAAGGCATCGAATGGTTTTTATGGCCATTGCTCGCGCAATTTCTGCCTGAAATGCTACAATTTTAGTAGGTGCGGAACTATGGAAGAGTCATCTTACCGTAATTCTGTTTGCGATTCCCCATGGAAGATCCGGATCACGTCCCAAGGGGCGATTCAAACTACCATATGTTGTTGTTGCTCTCGCCACCACATCCGATTGGATAAATTCCTACATTTCAAACTTACATAGTAGCGGCTTCGTTGAATTCGTCACGTCGCATTTTACTCAATATCAGTCTCGCAGCAGTATCCACATGCAATGCGTCACCAGAGATACAATCGTGTAGCGTGGACGGCAGGGGCGGTGAGGCTGGCCGTTGTTCTCGCCTTTCTTCGACATGGAATTCCCTCCTTTCATACACATTTCTGCAAAATCTCAACTTTTGAATGACAAAATTGTTCTAAACGAAGAAATTTAAGGTTTTCTTACCTTGTGGCACTTCCTCTTCCAGGCCAACTGGAACTTCTTCCGTGGGTATAGTGCGCTCCTCAACATGCGCGGGGAGGTGATGACAGCCACACTTTTCATGCTATATCGTTTCGCGGTGTTCACCTGTCTAGATTGCTTGTATTTACTGATGTATACCTATTTGTAACAAATAATTTTCGCTTAGAATTACAGCTATGCAACGAACGTCTCTTGCTACAACGAGGTCGAGAGCTGCAAAGCGAGTATAAGGAAAGCCCAAAGCTGGAAGAAGAGGAAGAAAAAGAAAAAAAAGTTATTACAAACAACTCATAAAAGAGTGCATTTAACTCCAAACGAGGATTCAAAGTGCGGCGTTGTGTATTTCGACACCGCTTCCCAAGCGCACGTCCTCGAAGTGGAGCGCCAATCGGCTTGTTAGCACGACATTGTTCTCGGGAAATTTCATTTACTATATACTTTACGAGAATTTCTTCATTCTTGCAAATGTTGCCGAGCGCTTTCTTAGAAACTCCCGTCCGCGGCTCGCTTAACGTCGTAAATCTCAGCTCCCATTTTTGATTTCGCAATACCTTAATAGTCAACAAAGTCTCGGTTCAATAATATGGGACGTTCGACGGAGTTTGTCTGGGCGGAACAGTGGATTGCCGTTTCAATGTTCACTTTTGAAAGTAAATAAATAAAAACTTATGACAAAGTCGTAGATGTTGCTCAAATCAGACGACTAGCTTTGTCAATGATATACTACTACCTTGAAGACAACGGCTGTGTAGGTTGTAGAATCTCTGCAATTTTTGTGGAAGCATAGGGTTTTTACTAACATGCATTTACCGTGCAGGTATTGTAATAAAGTGTCAGAATTGTTTATTACGACTTTTTTGGCTGCTCAGTGGGCACATCCAACTCTAGAGCAGGCGTGCTATTGGCCGAAAACTAGCTCTCAAACACCCAGTTGTACTTTAGAGCGAGTCAATCAGCGTGCATTACTCGAGAACATTGATTGCTTTGAATACAAGAGTATTTATTAGGGTGAACGGCAAAAAATGGGACAGACTGACTATTATATTGGAGATTTTTTTTTGTTTTGATTAACAGCAAGCAGGTCGTTTTTGCTCTGAACAACACCAAGCTAGATGCCGCTCTTACATAAGCGGCTTTCGCCTATTATTCTGTTAACACGTAAACGCTCCTCCCAAAATCCTGCCGTGGCGCCATGAAAAACTCGAACAGGGCTTTTTGGACATCTCTCAATCTTTCGCTGCTATACCGTGAAGTCACGGAGCAAGTAGCATGCCATTCAAAAAAGCTTGTCATGTTTTTTCAATTGGTATGTTGAATATATAGAATTCTTTTCGAATCCTGTTAAAAAAGCAAAACTTGAACAACTGCGAGTTGCGCAAAAAGGTCATGTTCCCAACTATATCTCCCGAAGATAGATTAAAACCACATATGATTGGATAGAGCGTGAAGAGCTCTATTAGTTTAATGTTCAAAAAACATGCGCTTACTTGCAAGGCAGTAAATAACATATTTTCGTTTTCGGAAGTGGTAATGACCATATTCCCTGACTCTAAGCGCTGAGGCCAGCAAACCATCGTGGATTGGGTGACTTTAGATTCACTCGTTGCACTCGAACTTTGGATGGTCTCACATGTTTCAGCACGCGACTGCTCGAAGTTTATAATTCGTGTATTAGCTTCGCATTCCAATAATATGGAAATCATTAGTATATAAATGGCCTTATATAGGTATTAAATAAAATAATATGTTCTAATATCTATCCAACTTGGAGAATTCATTCACTTGTCTTTCTTGGGAAATCTACATTTATTTCCTAGGGTGCCCCATTTTTTATCGTCTGATTATGAAATAGTCATACGAAATGCCGCTTGTGTAATGGCTCACTAGTTACTTCACTTTCTCTTGTTGGTTAAGAGTAACCTCAGGTTCCACTAGAAACCCATCCATACCTAGATACTGCTGCTGACAAGGAAAGGATACTTGGTGACCGTGGCCTTTTGAAATGAAACGTACACAATTAAATGCAGCTTGGAGCGCTGTCCAAATCTGTTTTCATTATCTGCTGTGCGCTCTTCCGAAAGAAGTTGTGAACATTTCTTGTCACCAAAATTTGCCCTGATTTTGATGCAGGATTCACCAATATCGTTAGAATACTCGTTTACGCACTACAGAAGAGCGCACAGACAAACTAAAGCTTCACGTTAAGCTCAGGAAGACTGTCACCTATACATTAGAGTCTAAAAAGCCTGGATATTGACGATTTTGACTGCTCAAATCTCGCAAAATCAATATGGAAAAAAGCCCATAACTTCTTTCAGGAAGTCGCACAACAGATGGTGAACAAAGATTCAGAATCAGCGTTCCAAGACGCACCTACAGGTATACATTTCATTGCAAAAGGCCACGGTCACCAGGTATCCTTCCCTCGTGAGACGTGTTCGGGTATAGCAAATACTATAAACCCATCAATATTGTCCAAGTTCGACTCTCGATTAATCTCGGCATGTTGCAAATGCTTGTTGTGGCTTGTTTAGCTGGACACCGGGATTGGTATATCCTTTACTGCGTCAGTGAATCAAGAACTCGAAAGTGAATGCAGGATTAAACTAATGCTCACCTAAACAGATGCCGACAAAGTGGTATTGCAGACCACTATACCAGTAACTGAGCTCTTACTTTCTTATATACCTATTCGCCTGGCCTCAAATTGACCTCAGAAGCCGCAAAGGCTCTGATAAGGCGCCAACTCATTAGTGATGTCTATGCACTTATCTTTCCTATTCAAATTTGGATTTTTGGCGGCAATCCAAAACGCTTCTAAAGTCTTGCGCGCTAGGATTTCGGATTCGTACGCCAAGATCGTGACCTCCACGCGTATCTCTGCGTCATTATGGAACTGACTGCGATGCTTGCCCAGTGGAGTTGCCATGTTCGATTTTTTGAGCCCGTCTAGGTGTTCTTTTACGCGTATACATAGGGGCCGCCCGTCTCGCCGATGTACGTACCTCCACATGTCTGACAGGTGATAAGGTACACCACCCCCGCAACCATGCAGTCGCCTTCCCTGCCCTGCGGGCATATGATGCATCCTGGAGTCATGCAAAGCCTATCATATGCCCTATTTCGTACTAGCTGATGTTTGAGGTTTGTAGGGGGTATGTCAACTACCCTTATCCAATCCTGGAGGTCCGCTTGTAGTACCAATCTTCTGACCGTCTTGCTCAACTCCTCTGAGATATACGGCAGGCAGAAAAGGATCTTTCCATCGGTTTCTGTAACCACATTCTCCTGAGTTCGGTGATGTTTTGCGTGAGTGTGCCCAAAGATCTTGTAACCATTAGATCGAGCTACTCTGTCAGCTATCGCCATGGAATAAGCCTTTTGTTGCCCGTCAGAGGAGACCTTCAGAGCAATTCTGAACATATTTCCTACAACTGATTTTTTGACTTGCCGGGGGTGCGCTGAAAAACAGTGTATAAGAATGTTCTTGCTGCTGGGCGAAGATTTCATGATGATTTCATGGTTTCAGCATAAGGGGGGTCATGGTACTTCTAAAGGAGTGTCTTCAATGTACAGTCTTCCGCTGGTATGGTCGCTATTACAAACAGATTAGGGGACTCGCTATGGGACAGCGTTTAGCACCGACATTGGCCATCGTCTTCATGTCTAAGATAGAATCTCCTGTACTCGCACGAAAACCACTTCTCTTCTGCCGTTACGTCGATGACTGCTGCATAGTATGCTCCACCCAGGGAGAGCTGGATCTCTGTTTTGACATCCTCAACAAGCAGTCTCGTCACATTAGACTCACGCGGGAGAAGCCTAGTGACAATTGGCTGCCGTTTTTGAATGTCGAGTTGCAGTTGGCAGAGAATGGTTGGAGAACTCGATGGTATCGAAAGCCCAGCAGCAAGAACATTCTTATACACTGTTTTTCAGCGCACCCCCGGCAAGTCAAAAAATCAGTTGTAGGAAATATGTTCAGAATTGCTCTGAAGGTCTCCTCTGACGGGCAACAAAAGGCTTATTCCATGGCGATAGCTGACAGAGTAGCTCGATCTAATGGTTACAAGATCTTTGGGCACACTCACGCAAAACATCACCGAACTCAGGAGAATGTGGTTACAAGTACTCTGCGTTGATACCACTGCTT